AAAGATGATCGAGGTGAACAACACCCGAATCTTTTATGTAAGTAATACCCTTAACGGTGCTGAAGTTTGCTACCCTATGTTGGAGAAGCTCGCATATACGGTAGTTATCTCGTCTCGGAAAGTATTTCCAATCACATTCTGTCGAAGTCCTTACAAATCAACCGCTCCAAACGATTCTCCTCAGCCCGAGCCAATTTGGCCGACTAGCAATTTGGGCCGTTGAGCTCGGCAAAGTTAAAGCCGAAATGAAACTATTTTCAATCATATTATGTAGAAGTCCCAAGTTCTCGCTGTCTTTCTCGTTGAACTATCGCCAGAACTCGATCAAGGAGTGTCCGAGGACAAGAAGTGGACACTGCACGTAGATGGTGCATCTTTAAAATATGTTTCACGGGTCAGCATTCACTTACAATTCTTGACAGGATAACTGTTAGAACAATCTTTCCAATAAACGTTTACAGCCTCAAACAACGAGGAAGAATACAAGGCGCTGATCGCCGGCCTTCGGCTAGCACATAGCATTGGAATCAAAAGAATTCAGGCATACTACGGCTCACAGCTCGTTGCTAACTAGTTCAGCGGCAAGGTCGTCCGTGATCTCTCCAAAGTGTTCAAACATTTTGAGCTAACCAAGATTCCTCGTAGTGACAACGCTCCAGCAAATGCACTCGCAATGCTCGTTTCCACATCTAATCCTGACCTCCCTCGAGTCAAACCTGTCGAAAGCATCAACCAGCCAGGTGAGCGGGTGACTGAGCTTGTTACTCGAGTGGCCGAGTGAGCGGGTGACTGAGCTTGTTACTCGAGTGGCGAGGAGATTGCTTGGCGGGTGGAATCGGAGGAGAGGAAAGTGAGTCGAGTAATGGCGAGTACGAGTGGTGTGATGGTGAGCTGCGTCGAGTGAGAGAGAGTGAAAATGGTTGAATGATGATATCGAGTGAAAGGATTGAGAGATAGAGAACAGAATGTGTGGTCGAGTGGGTGAGATGATAGAGTGTGGTGAAGATAGGATTTGAGTGGTTGTAGATCGAGTGGGTGAGTGTTGGGTCGAGTAGGATTTTTTCTTTTTTTTTTTTTTTTTTTTTTTTTTTTTTTTTTAACTAAAACCATCTCTACCCACCATCTCACTGAACTATGTTTGACACTGCATCTCCCGCTCACTTCGGTCATTTCACGTTCTGATAATAATGTATCTGTTCTCTCATCTCTTGGATCTCCTGAACAACACAAAACCAAAAACAAAAATTAAAAACAAAAAAGAATCCTAAGCAATATGTACATGGATACCTTTGGGACTTCCTCCCAAGTGAGCTTGTTTAAAGTCACTAAGCTTGACTTTTATGCCTTTTAGGCTTTGGGAGGCTCATAGAGAGGTATGGAGGACCCCTCTGGTGTGTCTTGATCAACTAGGTAACGCTTGACACGTTGACCGTTCACAGTGAACTCGCTGCCATCCTTGTTCAGGAGTGTGATCGCACCGAATGGCAAAACATCTTTGATTTCAAATGGTCCAGACCATCTAGACTTGAGCTTTCCAGGAAACAGTTTCAGTCTGGAATTGAACAGCAAGACGTGATCTCCAGCTTTAAGCTCCTTAACGACAATCTTCTTATCATGAAAAGCCTTGGTTCTCTCCTTATAGATTTTGGAACTCTCGAAGGCATCAAGTCTGATTTCCTCAAGTTCATGGATGTCAAGAACTTTCTTTGCCTGGGCTGCATCAATGTCCAAGTTCAGAAGCTTGATAGCCCAAAGCGCCTTATACTCAATCTCCACAGGGAGATGACATGCATTACCATACACCAACTGAAAAGGCGTCCTTCCTATTGGTGTCTTGAAAGCTGTCCTATACGCCCATAGAGTATCATCCAACTTGGTAGACCAATCTTTCTTCGAAGCCCCAATAACTCTTGACAAGATTCCTTTTATCTGCTTGTTGGAGACCTCAACTTGTCCACATGTCTAGGGATGGTAGGCTGTAGACACCTTATGCTTCACACCATACTTCTTCAACATGCTTTCGAAAACCTTGTTGATGAAATGTGTACCACCATCACTGATCACTGCTCTCGGTACTCCATACCTGGGAAAGATGATGCTCTTGAACAGTTTCAGAACAACCTTGTGATCGTTGGTAGGACTTGCAATGGCTTCAACCCATTTTGAGACATAATCAACTGCGACCAGAATGTAGACGTTGCCATTTGATGGAGGGTTGAACGGTCCCATGAAATCAATTCCCCAAACATCAAAAATTTCCACTTCCAAAATCGGGTTCTGAGGCATCTCATTCCTTCTGTTGATGTTACCCATCCTCTGGCAGGCGTCACACTTGGTGATGAAACTGTTTGTATCCCTGAACAACGTTGGCCACCAAAAGCCTGCTTGCAGAACCTTCTGAACTGTTTTGAATGTAGCGAAGTGTCCTCCATATGCGGATCCATGACAGTGCTCGAGCACTCCCTGTACTTCCCCTTCTGCTATGCATCTCCTAAACAGCCCATCTGAACCCCTCTTGTACAGGTAAGGTTCATCGCAAAAGTAGTGGTTGACATCTCTGAAAAACTTCTTTTTCCTATAAGGATCCATGTCTGCAGGAATCTCTCCACAGACCTTTTAGTTAACCACATCCGCATACCAGGGCATACTCTCTGAATTGACTGCTAGACATTGAAGCTCCTTCATAGCCATTCATGTTTGATGCATCTTCTTGCATATCTTAACAACCATAAGATGTTCTTCAGGCATAGAGTCATCAATAGGGATTGGATCTTCTATTCTCATTCTGGACAGGTGATCAGCAACGCCGTTCTCTATCCCCTTCTTGTCAACAATCTCCATATCAAACTCCTGGAGTAGAAGTATCCATTTCAGCAGTCTCGGTTTGGTATCCTTCTTGGAGTATATATGCCTAAGCGTAGCATGGTCTGTATAGACTACCACTTTTGATCTCACCAAGTAACTTCTGAATTTCTCAAACGCAAAGACTACAGCCAAGAGCTCTTTCTCTGTTGTTGCATACCTCCCTTGTGTCTCATCAAGGGTTCTGCTCGCATAGTAGATGACATGCAGTTTCTTCTCTATTCGCTGTCCCAACACAGCCCCTACTGCATAATCTGAGGCATCACACATTATCTCAAAAGGATGATCCCAGTTTGGAGCTTGGACTATTGGTGCTGAGACTAACGCTTCCTTGATCTTGTTGAAAGCTTCCAGACAGCTCTCATCAACAACAAACTTGACCTCCTTGCACAACAGTCTTGTAAGGGGTCGTGCAATCTTTGAGAAGTCCTTGATGAATCTTCTGTAAAACCCAGCATGCCCAAGGAAACTCCTTATATCCTAGACTTACTTTGGAGGTTGCAACTGTACCATGACCTCAATCTTTGCCTTATCAACCTCAATCCCTTTCTCTGATACCTTGTGTCCCAACACTATCCCTTCGTTCACCATGAAGTGGCACTTCTCCCAGTTGAGCACTAGGCTTGTCTCCTCACATCTTGCTAATACCCTGTAGAGATTCAACAAACATGAGGAGAAGGAGGAGCCATACACGGAAAAATCATCCATGAATACCTCCACCATCTCCTCTATCAAATCCGAGAATATAGAGGTCATACACCTCTGAAATGTTGCAGGTGCATTACACAAACCAAAAGGCATGCGTCTGTAGGCAAATGTGCCATAGGGACAAGTGAAAGTAGTCTTTTCCTGATCATTTGGGTGGATAGGAATTTGGAAAAATCCACTATACCCATCAAGGAAACAGTAGTAGGGATGATTGGCTAATCGTTCTAACATTTGATCAATGAAAGGAAGAGGAAAATGATCTTTCCTAGATGTAGCATTCAGTTTTCTGTAATCAATGCACATCCTATGGCCAGTGATAGTCCTAGTGGGGATCAATTCATCTTTTTCAT